GGCGAAGTACACAAGAGTGCTGATGATGGCAGACCAGATAGCGACCCAGTGCAGTTTCTTCTCACTCCTAGGGTTCATCTCCATGTAGATCTCAGGCATATTAGCTTGGTTGCAATAACCGAAGATATACGTGGTGACACCCTCCAGGCAATCAATCCAGTTGATTGGAGCATAAGCCTGGCCATATTTGAAGTCAACTGCCATACCATATTCACCGAGGAGATAGAAGGCTACGATAGCCAACCAGAACATACCGAGAATACTAACAATAGTGAGGTACCTCAAGGAGCCGAGACTCTTAACCAGACAGATTGGGTACATGACGATACCCAACATGATGAGGGATAAGTAATACCTCGAGGTTAACATGATATGATACCAAGCATTGGGGTCATCGATGGTGAGCTGATTGAACAATGGTGCCAATGAATCGACAACAGTTACCAAATAAGAGGCACTGCTACCCAAACAGAAGACAACCATAGCAATCTGGAAGCCGTACAGCACCTTACGACCATAAAGGTGCTCTATGATGGTAGCGTACGAAGTCTTGCCCGTCTTCTCAACAGTCTTAGTAATCATATCTATAGAAAGCACATTCAACACAGCAAACACCATCAATAAGACAATAGCAGAAACATAACCACCAATTGCCATCTCATAGGTATTGGACAGAATGGCGCCACCCAAAGTAGCCTTAACAACAGCAATAGTCGCCGTGAATGACGAACCAGGGGCGAAGGTCCTGCTAGCCCAAGTGTCCTTCTTAGGGGACATTTCCCCTAGAGGGGATGAGGCCTCTGAAGCAGTTGACAGATCCGCCTTCTTCGGCTTCCCCCGTGAACTCATTGGAGTGGCAACAACACTCTGCGAGATTGAATCGAGGTCATCTCTCACAGACCCTTCAGTGCTGGTACTGCTATTAGCGGCACCAGCATCAGTAGTAATGACACTAGTCGTGTTAGAAGTCATCGTTGTTAGACGTGGACTTTATAATTAGTGATGAATACAAGGATGATGAATAATGTCACCAACACTGAAAGAGAATAATACACCCCGACCCTGACGGCGACAGCAACCCCTCAACACAAGTCCAATGATGATGACTTCAACACGGTATTGATGATGGTTGTCATGCGGATACTCTTACTAATGACCACCTCCGTCGTAGTAACTGAACGAAGAGGATATAACCAACACGTGGGAGGGGGGGTGGGGGCTGCTCACTCCAAGAGACCATGACGACCTCGCTTCTTCTCATCTGATGGTCTGATGGATCGGATGAGCATCACCGAATGGGCAACGGCCCAACTGATGATCATCTAAAAGGTGATCATGATGTGGAGGAGGAGTAGAGGATTACACAGGCCAGGAGGTTGACGAAGAAGGCGAAGGACACTGTGGGGTAGGGGAAGGTGGCCGTCCTGGCCAGTCGATAGAAGGACATCCAACTTATGATGAAGTAGCCGACAATACCACACCAAGCCAATACCCCACTGAATGATAACATCACCACATAGTAATGTTTATACCTACAGGGCAGATGAGCAAATAAAAGCGCCGACTTACGTACTTCAACAGACTCGTCGTGAGGAGGGCAATGCCGATGAGGATTTGAATGGCACTCGAGGATGCTATGATGAGATACTCACACCAACTTAACATCAGCAGCCTCTTGTACATTATGCATCTAATAGAAGTACGACGACGACAAAGGGAAGGAGGCCAGGCAACATCATCTACCGGTCGGCCAGATGAGTGTTGAAGTCCATCGTACACTTCTCAACACCGACCGACTTACCAACACCTGAGGGAACATCAACAACAACAAGTTGATGAGGACCGACATGGTGGGGCTTCGGCGAAGAGGGGCTGACTGGCATCGAAGGTCTCCCATCTATCACAGGTCGACTCGGCCAACTCCAACCATGATTGACGACGATCACCAATTACGTAGACCAGACCATATTGTCGGGATGAGAAACCAACAGCAAGGGACGATGAGGAGGATAGTCGATCATCCTTATGGCCTCCGGCGTAGTAGCTGCCCGAGAGGTATTGACTACCCTGAAGGGATCAACGACGATGACTCAACTGAGGGGAGGAGGATGAGGAGGCTACTACCGCGCCGACACGCCAAGTCGACATGAAGATCGACCCCAACGCCAAACCGGCAGATGTGAATACTTCAACTGAGACGATGAGTTGATGACGATGGTGAGTGACGGGACTTACCTGTGAGGAGGAGAAGACTCGACCCTTTGGAGAGGCGGCCGAAGACCATAAGAAGGTGAGGAAGTAATGGCTGAGGGAAAATGCCATGATAACAAAGAGGAAGTCAAAAGGCATCGATGGTCGTCGAAACTGATGTTAACGAGGTGTGGTAAGAAAAGATTCATTCATGAATTTAATACCGACATTATTAGCAAACCTCAAGTCTCTATCAGACTCATCTTTAACTCTTCCCCCACCATCACCAATCATTACACTCTTACCCACATCTACTGGTATACCATCATTCAACCTTTCTACCATAAACTCCCACATACTCACCTAAAATACACCACCACTATTTTCAAGCACCAATATCATCTCACTACACCAGGTTTCCGATAGGAATCATATCCATTCGGGAGATCTCCTCGAGCCAACGCCGCAAATACATACATTTGGAGGTCAGCACGACAACTACCATCAAGCCAGCTCAAGAACGACTCAAACCTGAGATGATAAACTCATCAACACCCAGAAGTGTATGACTACGACTTTCCAATGAGTCGGATAATATCATTCATTACGGCTTCTCCTCCCAGCATT